CACACACACACACACACACACACGGAGGGAGTAGGAGCAAACGCCCATTATAACAACAACACATCTCTCATGTGTTTCCACTGCCTTGTTCACCCACCTCGATAAGATGCCAAGACTCTGATCTGACGTCCGACGTGTGCTTCTCATGTCTGCTCTACCTAATGCCTGCGTCGCCTGTCTGCTATTGGTGCATTGCTGACTTCTTCCTGATTCTCATATCTCTAATAGCAATTTCTTTCTTAGGGGCCTCCCACTGTCCACCTCAAGTAGATATTCATCTGCTCAATTGCTCTGGGAGTGGACTTACAAGCGTGCCACATCGAGGGCATCCCGAGACTCGCACACTGGATCTCTCAAACAATCACTTAAAAGTCTTGCATGAGGACAGCTTTGTGGAGTACAACCGACTTAGCCAACTGATTCTGAATTATAATGACATCTACAAGATCACTGATAAAGCCATGGATACCATTTCAATGACTTTACGACACCTTTCCCTCCGTGGCAATCGACTGTCCGTTAGGGCGTCCTCCAACTTTCCCGTAAGTGCCTTAGCAAAACTACGAAATCTGCGTAGCCTAGATTTGTCGGAGAATCCTCTTGGTGTAATGCACACAAATTGGCTAGCACCGCTAGGAGGTACGATGAGAATATTGCGTTTGTCTAGCCTGATAGGTCAAGTGGAGTTACAACCCAAAACCTTCTTTGGACTTGGCCTATTAGAGGAATTTGAATTCTCAAATAATACCTTCTATCACCTCCCAGAAAATGCTTTCTTCGGGATTCGACCGGAGAAACTAAAAAAACTCAATTTGAGAAACATCCTCTGGCACTGTGACTGCAAACTACTCTGGTTACGACAGTGGTTGGGTAAGATAAACATCATTACTCCTCCGCACGAGCCAGACATCACTGGTCCCTGCTCGTATCCTCCAAAATTCAGCACTGTTCCACTGATTCGTCTACCCATCAGCCAATTTCAATGCCCGCCAAAATTACAGAGCATGGAATCGAATGCGCCACACTATTTTGGAAAGCAAAACGCTCTAATGCATATATCACCCTCCATTGGAGAGTCAGTCACCCTCACCTGCACCTTTGTCAGTCAACCCAAAATGTTAGTTCAGTGGTACAGAAATGGAGCTCTATTGCGGCCCGAACTGAAGCGGTTCGCACAGAGCGTAACCAAAGGCTCAAAATTTTCCACCGTCTTGACCATTTCTGCCTTACGTGCACCCGAAGATAACGGAAATTATACCTGTAAAACTAGCAACAATCGCGGTTTGGCAAAGGGTGTGTTTTTCTTGAAGGTATTCGATTCAGTGAGAGACTCCAAGTATCTTCTTGATGAAGCTCAGCCGACAGCAGCACAGCACACTCCTCATGATGACACCCAGCTTCCAGAAACGTCACGACTTCTCGTGATTTCTTTCACCGTTATATGCTTGTGTGTAATATGTGGAGCAGGACTTCTTGTTGTTTTGCTGCTCTTCCATGTTAGAAATAGACGTACACGAATTCAAGGTCAAAGAGCAGCACAAGTGGCAGCAAAGACGTTTGAAAACATGCTCTATATTGAGCCACCACCACCACCGCCTCCTCCTCCTCCTCTTCCTCCTCTACAGTCACCATCACCGCCACTGACACCGCCGCCACAAATAATGTACAAGAGCAGCTCACCTTGCAGTCCAGCGTCAATGCTGAAGATAGGCTTGGATAAGCGTATCCGTAAACCACTCACAGTACAACCAATTACAAACAACTTGATATATTCTGAGGCTTACGAAGTTTCAAAGTACATGTCTTTCAGCAAAGTTGATGAGCCAAACAATGCAGAAAGAGATAGGCCGATAGTGCGAACTTTTGCCCCATTTGTGACTTCTAGCGAGAGTGAAGGTGATGCTGAGGGCAGTAGCGACACCAGTGATGGTGTGGATAAAGCTTGTCCAGTTCACGGTAGTTGTGCAAAAGGGGGAGTACCCTTTTGTCCGGTCCATTCTCATTCCTTCTCGGGGTCTGCAGCTCCAGGGTCGTCGTTGTCCTTCTTGTCAAAAGACATCTTTAATGGAAGCACTTCAGTCAACACACACCGTCAATGGAGTAATCTTGAAGGTTACGGAAAGTGCAATGGGATGAGCAGAAGTCTACTACGAAGTCGGATAAACTCGACCACAAGTGATCTTAGATCTCTGAAGTACTGAGCAAACGTGAT